CTGCATCTCTGGCTTGTACCCCAGTTCTGTATGAGTAAATAAATAAATCTTTAAAAACAAAAATGCTAGATTAGCCTGATTCAAGCCTGTCAACGACCCAAGACACCTATCTGCGATGACAACCAGGTTCCAGAGCCCTTTGGCCCTAACACAGCACAGCAGATCTGTCTCTCAGAGCTTGTGTTCCTTTGAGTCCTGTCCTCTGAGCAATAGTCTCTGCGCCATGTTAGCACAGCACACAAAGTCATGGTGACCAACCAGTGGATATTAAAATGCTGTTAAGATCTATTAACTTCTAAAAGTTCCAAATTATGATACAAATGTTCCCCAAAGAAAGACACAAAGGCACCTAATATTTACCCTGAATTATGCCAGTAAGTGGCAAAAATGTATTCAGACCTAACAGGCGACACATGGCCAACCAGTGTTGATGGCTGAATTCCAGTGTCACAGTTGTGGCAGGTCTGTGAACTCCACGATGGTCCCTATGGAAAGGTGGCCAGAGACTCCAAAAAGCAACTCCCCACGACTCTGACTTAAAAGCCCTCATGGAAACAAGGCACTCCAACTGGAAATTGGCAAAATGTCACAGAAGTACTTAAAGAGCATCAATTAACTTGTTAACCAATTTGACTGTAAAATCAAAATTGAAAGAACAATTTCCAAACCGAATCACACTAAAAACTTTTAAAATCTAACTCATTAATAGTGTGAAGGTTTTTTTTTTTTATTTTTAAAGATTTATTTATTTTGGGCTCTCCCTGGTGATGCAGTGGGTTAACTGCAGCCACTGCGGCACGAGTTTCATCCCCGGCCAGGGAGTGACCCACAGAGTGCAGCACTCTCCTGTCTCCCCGCTGTTCTCCTTAGCAGTGCATTTCAGTCCATCTGCCTGTTCTGCTCCCCACTCTGTCTCTGGGGAATCCTCTCACCCTCACCTCTAGTCTGAAACCCAGTTCTGTATGCATAAATAAATAAATCTTTTTTTAAAAAAAGATTTATGCATACAAGAACTGGGGTTCAGGCCAGAACTGCGGGTAGGGGTGGGAAAGGATTCACCAGAGACAAAGTAGGGAGCAGAACAGGTAGACTGACTGAAATACACGGCTAAGGGAAGCAGCAGGCAGGGCAGGAGAGGTCTGCCACTCCATGTGGGTCACTCCCTGGCCGGGGATTGAACTCAGGCACAGTGGCTGTGGACAGCTTCATAGTGCTGGGCTTTAACCTGTTGTACCACCAGGTAGGGCCCAATAATGTGGAGTTTTTATGCCATTTTTTAAAATCCAGTAGTTTCTACCAATCAGATTTTCAAAAGAGAAATGTATGTTTTAAACCCAGTTATGAAAGTTGGCAATGAGATTTTATTGGAGAGTTTTCCTCTATTTTTCTAAATATTGCTTAAGATGAATCCTCAAACGATAAAAACAGGATTCTACAGGGACCCAGTCAACCCTATAACTTTTCATACACACATACACACACCTCCTCAGAATGATGGCCCCTGGCCCCCAGCATTCACGTGCTGCACCAAGGTGGGTCTGTGTGACCAAGAACACAGCAAAGGTGAGGGCAGTCACTCCTGAGATTGAGCCACGCCCGGCCTTTCCACTTTCTCCTGGGTTGCCCTCTGGAAGGAGATATACGCTGTATCACCGGCACAAGAAGGGGCCTGTGTGTGGAGGATGTGGCTTCATCTCCCAGTAGCCAGGTGAGGGGATCTGGAAATTGCTACTCCAGCCCCAGTCAAGCCTTCCAATGGCACAGCCTCCTCAAAGACCTCTGAGACCAGAGCCACCCAGCTAAGCCACCCCAGGAAACTACAAGGCAACAAACCGCCATGTGCTAAATGATCACGCCTGAGATCATCTGTGAGGGAGTTACAGGGCCCCCCAATGTGAACTGGGCTGCCTGTATGTGGGGCCTCTCCGGTGCGCTTATAATTCAGGTGTACTGCAGACACACACAAAAGGGTCAATAACGGGTTTATTTACAAAAGGGGAAAAGAAAAGGAAGCAAACCAGGGAAAGAGAATATCTTACCCGCTCAGCTGACTTGGAGCTCTGGAAACAAACTAACTGAAAGCCCCAAGTCACTCATCCAAGAGTGGTTGCCAGAGCGATAGCACCCTAGAAAATGGCTCCCTATTTATCCCCCAAAGTCTCAGAATTCCTGCTAGCTCCGCCCTTGGGTCCTGCAGTTCTCTCCCTGGTGCTGCTGGGAGTTGTAGTTTCCAGTCACTGGAGTAGGGGGTGGAGTCCAGAAAGCTGGAGTAGGGGGTGGGGTCCACAAGACTGCAACGTTCCTTTAGGACAGCCTCCCCTTAACAGGAGCAGAGGATAAATGCAACCCCCTATTTGCTTCCAGCCACCAGATGACCAGCCCTGCAGGCTTGGTGCAAAACTGAACTAGACCTGCATCAGGCCAGGTGAGGAGAGACGGCTTAGCAGGACCACAGCCTGATGATCTGGCTCCCTCTGACTTTCATTCTCTGTGGCTTTCTCTATGTCCTCATAACCAGAATACTCAGCAAACTGAATCATCCATCTCTATGGAGGAACTGACGCTACACATCGTAGGCTTAAAGGCATCATTTCATGTAAATATGGCCGTTGCTGATATCTGAGAAACCTGATAAATCTCTATCATCAGAGCTCCTCAGCTCACTGTCCAAACCTTGACAAGCCCCACCCCTGCCTCAGCAGAGAAGCACACCTCACTCCCGCCAAGAAACAGACACCTCAGCCATGCTCTCTGTGGAAGCCCCTGAACCCACCTTTCAACCTAACTAAGAACTGGAGTGGAAAATGATTGCTTTAGCCCCTGATACCAGAGTTCCTCTGAGGGACAAAAAATGCCTTATTGAGGAAACTACTTTGCTATGGCACTGGAGTCTAGAAGAAAAAAGCTTGCCTTAGAATAAAACGGGAACAAAGAGATGGCTAAACAGATCCACATTTAAAAAAAAAAAAAAAAGGCCAAGGATAGGGCTCAAATAACAGTGTGGGAGGTGAGGTTGGGCAGAGCGTCCCAGCGCAGGAGGAGCTAAAACTTGTTCAAAATAGAAATATCTATTATTGGACCTTAAATTGTGTTGCTAAGGATATAAAGTCTTCAGTAATATCTGGCACAAGCATAAAGGCCTAATGTCAGTGATTTGGGGAAAATCAAGGAAAAGAGATTGAAGGCAGGGTCCGAGTTCTACCACAGATGAGCCGGGCGCCAAGGCCTGACACAGGGAGACTGAGACACAGGTGAGAGGAAGACAGTGGAAACAGCTCCGAAGCCCAGCCCCTAGAAGCCCAGGGCCACACCGCTGCCCGGAGGAGGCCCTGAGCTCCCAGTGGGGTGGCGTGGAGCCTGACCTCCCGCACTCAAACCTCAAATCAGAGTGCTCCTCAGCTGACATCTGGGCGCACGGTCCAGGATTCTTCTTGCCTCTGTCTGGCCTCTGGCAAAGAAATGTCCAAACCCAGACCCCCGGCTGCTCACTGTGAGCTGAGCCGTCCTCTCGAGCGTGCGCCGCCACTTACCCTTTCTACACGCAGTCAGTGTCCTCCCCGTTTCCGGGTCTCCTCGCTCCCTGCTACCCAGACCCACACCAGCTCACACCACTGGGTTTCTGGATCCTCGTCTGCTGTTCATTAGTGGTCTAATCTCCCGGCTACCATTTCCTTGTCAGAAACTGGAAGTGGAAAGGAACATATGTCAGAGGATTGTTCTGAATGATGCATGTAAATTGTGAGTCTGGCGAGTGGCAGGGTGAGCCCCTGTAATGCTCATGGCATGCCCCACAGCCCCCCTAAACAAGTTTGCAGGTCCCCTTTGGATTCCTCTGCAGCACTTGGCAACACAAGTCACTCCCCTCAGACGGTCCTATCTTAGTTTTTGGTGACTCTTGTACTCTACCCATCTTGTCTAAGATTTTCCACATACCATCCCTCTAAGCCCAATCGACTGTATCAGAAACTGCTAACAGAAACGAGTATTTTCTCTGCCTTCCCCAATTCTTTCTCTTCTCTAGTAACCTTTTTCTCAGTTCTCGATGTAACAATCTAATGTGAAGTGGAAGCTGCCGTCAGCAATTATCCTCCCTGACTCCCTCACCCTGCAGAGTCCAGCAGGCTCTCAGCGGCCAATGGCTCCCCCTCAGGCCTCCAGAATCCAGTGGCCCCCCTCAGAATCTCCTGCCTGACCCGCTGGAACCCGCAATGCTTAGTCAAATGGGCCAGGAGTCCGTATTAACTCTGCCACAAACGTACACTGACGCTCTTGGTCAACTTACTTAGCCTCTCTGACCTGAGGTTGCTGTACTAAAGGATACCATATGTCCACCGGCCTAGTCAGCACTCAGCAGAGAGTCCCTGCATCCCTCCCTTTACAATTTCACCTTTGCCTGATGTAACACAATATCCACATAGCTGGTCTCCTGCCCTTTCTCCTCCAAACTGCCCTTGAGTTAATTTTTCTAGAGAACAAATACCATACTATCAATCTTCTTAAACTCTCCATCATTTTTGCCCCTATGGACAAAGTTCAAATTCCTTAACGTAAGTTCCAGTTGCCTCTACAGCCCCTCCCCCAAGCCAGGGACTCCAAAGCACTGGCTGATCACCAGCTCTCGGGGGAAGCACCCCATCTCTGCATGTGTGGCCTTTGCTTCGATTCTATATTCTCCACCGGAGTGAAGTCGCCTGCTGCTTGTCTTGCCCCTTCTGACTTACTTCACTTAGTTAGCATCAACCCATCCGGCTCCGTATTGTCATAAATGGCAAGTTCCATCTTTTTATCGCTGCATAGTATTCCACCGCACATGCCACAGGCCTTTGGCACTTCGACTGGTCTTATCACGTGGCTATTGTAAGAAACTATGCTACACACACAAACACACAAAAAGGAGAGAAAAAGAGGAAGAGTGAGTGGTAAATGAAGATGTGGCCAAAAGTTAAATCATTTTGAATTACAAAAGGCTGCAAAACTCGCCCGGACTTTCTATAAGTCATAAATTATTTCAAAAGAAAAGAAAGCATGAGGCAATCTGCCCACAAGGTAGCCATGAAACACCAAGTTGCAGAACATTTCACCAACAATTGACCTACACTGCCTCGGCCAGGGCCAACGTCCTGAGGAAAGCAGGGACCTTAAACCGGAGGGAGGGACGAGAGAAGGGCAGCCAGGGAGATGTCTGACGTGCACTAAAGAAGCTCAACGACTCTGTGCCAGGCATGACCCTGGGTTACATGTCAGACTGGGGGAGAAACTGCTATGGAGAACCTTAGGGGAACAAGCGGAAAACTGAAAATACTCATATCATAACATTATAGCAATATTTTTTAAAGATTTATTTATTTATGCATACTGAATGGAGGTACAGACCAGAAGTGCAGGGGCGGTGGAGACAGAGCGGGGAGCAGAACAGGCCAACTGACAAAATGCGCTGCGGAGGGGAGCAGCGGGCGGTCAGGAGAGGTCTGCCGTGCCCTGGGGGTCACCTCCGGGCGGGGACTGAACGGCTGAAGTGCCTTTAGCTTCTTGGTGCTGTGCTGTAACCGGCTGTGCCGGGGAGGGCCCACATTATGGCAAGATTAACATTTCCTAATTTTAAAACTGCGTGGCGGTTGTCAGATGTGAATAATGGGTAGATGCGCGCTCATGTTTACCATTCTTGTAACTTTTCTGTAAGATGAAAATTTTTTCAAAATAAAAATTTTTAGAAGCTGCGACCTACGGGAACCCTTCCTCCCCTCTCAGACAGGAGAGCTGCCCCCTCCCGGCTGCTGGTAATGTGTTGCTTTTGCCCTAAAATTCTCAGGGTGCTTTGCAGTTACTTGTACAAGCATTTGTCTTACTCTGTTAGATTGAGAGCTTTTTGCCTTTTGGAGCTAAATAACTGGAGGAGTAACTAAGTCGGGTAATTTTATGTTGTTGACAAGGTATTACTGGAGCACTTTTGTGCTACCATGTGGACCCAAAGCTAAACACTTCTCAAGCTGAGAAGTAAAATAGAAAGTGAACACCTGCTTTAGTGCACAGTATAATGCTGGAATTAATTCAACCCATGTGCTGTTCTGTCCCTTTCTGGAAACTTCTGCCTGCAGAGCTGGAACGCCCACCCACTGGCCCCAGCAGATACACAAAGGTGCAGTATGGATGAGGGTGAATTTAATGAAGGCCGGATCCGAACTGCCCTGGCGGCCTGCGATTCAGCCCCCTTCTGCTTCTTTCATGCAGAGAGGGCAGCCCCATCCTCAGTTCAGTGCAAGGTCTGCTAAAACCCACAAGTTTCATAATCAGAGATCGAATGGTTGGAAAACATAGGAGAAAGCATCTCTCCCCATCTCTGGGCTTGCTGTGATGGAGATTTTGCAAGACCACAGCAAACATTCTCCAGCACCTCCCATCACTCCCTGCCAGCTTCTGTTACCTGCTCCAGGAAGGAAAACCTACGTGGCCAAGGGGACCTGGAACCTAGGATCAGGGTCCTACACCCGCACTGCCAGGAGACCCCCCCACCCCGGCCATAGCTGGTGAACCAGTCTGCAGCCACTCAGCCCAGGCCTGGGGACGTGCACGTCACGGAGAGCAAATGAGAAGCCTGTTTTGACCTCAGGCCCAGGCTGCATCCTCCAGACCAGCTTGAGCTGCAAGAAAGACGATGTTTTCATCTCCGTCTGTTTCCTCTAACACCTGGGCCAGGGTTCAGCAAGAAAGGGACACAGAGGCCCCCTGAGGGCCCCAGGGTGTTTCATAATCCTCGGGCCTGAGTGCAGCTGTGTGAGCGCGAGCTCTTGCCACGCTCGTGCTGTCCTGAACCCAGACGGGGACACCAGCCGCCCACCGCGACCACGGGGCAGCGGAGATATTTTCAGGGCACAAAGCGATGTTTGAAGCTTTCCGGCTTGTCTGAGGGCTCTGAGGCTACACGGAAGGGGTTTGGTTCACGCAGGGGAGGAAAGTGTTTTTGTGCCGGCCGGGTGGCAAGACCAGGGAGCGTCTTCCTGGGGAGCCGCCGAGCAGCCCGACAGCCGTCTGCCACGAAGGGGCAGAACGCAAGCAAGATCTGACATTTTTTGAAATTTCCCTTTCTCCTTGAAAGGCCGGTGTTGCTGAAAGTCTATTCATCACAGATCATTCATCTGTGGCGAGTCGCCGCTATCTGCACGCGGAAGTGACAGCGCCGGAGGATGCTGGCGGCGAGACAAAGGCTCCTGGCACCGGGAGAGCCAGAGAGGTAAACAGCAGCTCAAAGGAGTGGGGGATTAAAAAAGCAAAATAGAAGCAGGGGAAGCTACAAGAGCATCCTCTTCCTCAAAGGGGCTGTGCTTCTGAGGAGGTCTGGCGCGCTATTTTTACACCAGCCACGCACCCCCAGTCCACCTCCCTTTTGTTCGGCTCCTCTCTTCTTCTCCCTGAATCTCCTTCACTGACCACCCTGTTCCTCCAGGATGCTCCAGCTTCTCCCAGTCTCTGCGACCTCCATCACCTCAACCTCTAGACATGCTCCAAGTTCTCTCATTCCCGGAAACCTCAACCTGCCCTCCAATAAAGCACTGTTGAGGGTCACCCAGCGTGTGAGCCTGGGGCCAGCGGGGGGGGCATTTAAAATCCCACCCCGATCCCATCCCTGCTGAATCACAGTCACTGGGACAGGGCCAAGCACCTCGGTTTCAAACACTTTCCAGACCCTGAGACACTGCTGGAGGGGATGTAAACGAGTGCAGCCATTCTGGATTCACCTTAAAAACTGAATGTGGAGGGCCCTCCCTGG